GTGGAAGTGCATTTAGAACACTAAGTTGAGAGCACGCAATAAGCTAATATGCGCTAAGCAATAAGCTTGAAATGCGAATAAGAAAAAGAAGACTAAGACTGTTGTAACGAGTTTACAAACACAGTTTTAAAATAAGATATATCAAGCAACATATGCATTACATTTTGCAAAACAATTACACACCTGGGGGAGACAAACTTGGCTAAATATAACACAATTTGCTGAAACCAACAAGGTGTACCGAAAGGTTATGATATTACTTGAAAAATACAATTTCGTTCCATGACCCGGACAAACGAATGGCATATACCAATATACTCATCTCAACGGGATTGGAAAATGTTTATGTATGTTTGTATATATGTATGTAAAGGGTGATACGGTCAAAATTTGGTCAAGGGAAAACGCGTGTAAATCGGTGAAATCGTTTATTTAAAAAATCAAATTAAATTTCTTTTTCAAGTTCAATTAGTATAAAATTCAGGAAAAATATTCAGTTAGGCTTCCGCTTTTCCAAATCCGAATTGCCGGGCCTTACGCTTGACCCCTGCCATCAGATTTTGTACAGCCACCTTGTCCACCTTCTTCGCCGCAGAAAGCCAGTTTGCCTTGAACTGCTGCTCGCCCTTAGCAGTTTTTTTGGTCTTCTTTAGGTTCCGCTTGACAATAGCCCAGTATTTCTCAATTGGGCGGAGCTTCTTGTCCTTGGGAACCACCTGCACGTTGTTGGCGGCGTACCACTCCATGGCCTTTTAACCGTAATGGCAAGATGCCAAATCCGGCCAAAACAGTACGGAACAACCGTGTTTCTTCAGGAAAGGCAGCAGACGTTTATTCAAACACTCTTTCACGTAAATTTCTTGGTTGACAGTCCCGGAAGCTATGAAAATGCTGCTTTTCAAGCCACAGGTACAGATGGCTTGCCAAACCAGATATTTCTTTGCGAACTTTGACAGTTTCATGTGCTTGAAAACATCTGCTACCTTTCCCCTTCCTTTTGCCGTATAAAACTCCTGTCCCGGAAGCTGCTTGTAGTCGGCTTTGACGTAGGTTTCGTCGTCCATTACCACGCAGTCAAACTTCGTCAGCATCGTCGTGTACAGCCTCCGGGATCGCGCTTTGGCCGTCGTATTTTGTTTATCATCGCGATTTGGAGTCACTAAGTCGATAGTCCGGCTCGTTTTTTGGCTCGATGCACGGTTGTAGACGATACACCTAGCTTATTTGCGGCATCTCGGAGAGAGAGGTTAGGGTTTCGCTTGAAACTACCGGCAACTCTCTTTGTCGTCTCAGCGGCTTCCGGTTTTCGATTTCCCCCCGATCCAGACTTCCTGGCTGTCGACAAACGTTCCCCAAACACTTTAATTACATTTGTAACGGTTGATTTGGCAACTTTTAGCGATTTTGCCAACTTTGCGTGCGAGTAGCTCGGATTTTCGCGATGCGCGAGCAAAATTTTGATACGCTGCTCTTCTTGCTTGGACGGCATTTTGACAACTGAAGAGTGAATTCCAAAATCAAAATAGGAGCAACATTCTACACACACACACCTTCAAAATGAGGGGTGTTCAGGTTTTTTAAATGCAAAATTGAAAGAAATACGTCAAGTTGATATTGACCAAATTTTGACCGTATCACCCTTTATGTATGTATGAAAGAGTATGAGTGTAACTCATTCAATTTTCGCAGAGATGGCCGGACCAATTTGAGTGAAACAACTTCCAGAAAATGTGTTTTAGATCCCCAAAGATTGCTATTGAATTTTTCCCCGAAATTATGGTTCCGAAGATATGAACAAAAATATGAATTCCAGATTCCACTGGGGAATTTGCAAAAGATTGATACATGAAAAACTCATCATGCGACACCTCAAATCGCATTAGAATTTTACTAAAAGATCAATGGTGGACATATTCAAACCCAATGATCACAATGGCCTCTTTCAGATGTACCGGGTACCCCGGGAAGTGGACAGATTCCGACATACGTCAAAATACATCGTACGATACCTCAAATCACATGGAACTCAACATTATGATTAGTGCCAGTGTTTATGTTGCTTTTCCATAAAACCTCATTGAAACTAATTGATAGTAGAGAAAAAGTGAATCACGTTTATTTTGCTTGTTTGGTTCTCGCATAGGACGCTAATGAATTTTATCCCCATCGCACATTGTGTGGCGGAGATATGGCCCAAAAAAATGAAGAAATTATTCAATAAAACTCACTGACTTTTCTCGACGGAACGGCTTCGAAGCATCGGAACGATTTGGACCAGCAAACATAATACTAAGACCCAGAAATGAAACATATATAACTTATAGCTTACCTGATCCTTTGAAAAAGTTCGTTATGGGGTTCCCGAGAGTTCCTTTGATTTTTCTCGATTTTTTCCACATTATTACGACTCTTATTCAGGTACAAAACGACGAAAATGGCTGCTTCGTCGACACACTGTCCGTTTCATTCACTTTTTCAGTGACAGTGACTACATTAATTCAACTTATAGACCAGCCAACGTGAGTTGACGTACCCAAACAAACCGTCAAATCGTATGCGTGTTGAAAAATGCATCGCACGTGTAATTTAATTAAAGATGTTAAACAGTGTATCTAAATAAAATTAAAAATTTACCCTTGATTACAAAAGTCTGTAAATATCTGTGAAAAAACAAAAGAGTCTGTAAGATGGCTGTAACGAGAAAAATGTCTGTGAAAAAATAAAAGTCTGTAAATTTACAGACATGTCTGTAAATCTGGCATCTCTGCTTAAGAGCAAAATCAAAAAAAAAAAGTTTGTTCAGAATGCCAAAATAAGCGTTTTGACCAAGTTTGGCTCAAATCGGTGACATCGTCCACAACATTTTTTAAATTCTGTACCCACTTGGGCTGGAAAACCCCATTTACTTTTTGAAAAATTTTAGTTTTCATCACAATTTTTGAATTTTTGGAAATGACGAAAAATTATGAAAATGACGTCAGAGATAAAGTCAATTTAGATCAAAATTTTTACCGAAAGTTCTTGTTTAACGGTGTTTGTCAATTTTCAAGTGTCCACGGTTTCTTAAATTTTGCAAAAGTTTGCATTTCTAATAGTTTTTTTTTGGATATAATGTCGGCCTTAATGGCCCTAATTTTTGCCCTCACATAAATTCATCAATCTAAATTTTCAAAAGCCATTAGTACCGAAGCAATGAAGCGTTCATCTAGATAAAATTGATAAATAGCAGATTTTTAGCAATGAGCTTAATCTTAGATCCATAGATATTTCCTCTACTTTTTGAAATATTTTAGTATTCTCAAAATGTCTAAGTTAATACCATGTAATTTTTATTTTTAAGAAAGACTTTAAGTTTCTCTACAACTTTGTATCAGATGTCATTTCAATCAGAAGTCACGTTTTCGTGCCACAATTTATTGAAAAATGACAAGGACGCCGTTTTGAAAAAAAAAATCAAAATCCTAAATGTCCGATTTTTTCAAAAATGTCAATGATTGCCCATGACACACAATTATGCAAAGTTTCATGCAAATCGGAGAAAGACGAGTTTTTCCGATTCTTCATTTGGCGTGGATCTGCTCAACCGTAAACTGATGCAAATCACGTCTGAGGCGAAGTGGTAGAACAGAAAACTACAATTTTATGATTTTATAACTTATGTTCATTTGAAAGCATATCAAAAATGCTAACTTCACTGAAATTAACACACTTCACAATTAACAAAAATAGTTAAAAATCAAATTTTAGCGGATTTTTTAACTTTTTTTCCACGCGATATTTAGGTGATTATGCAAATACGAAACGATTTTCTGGACTAAAACAAATGTTTTCTGCATTAAAGCAATTAAATCTTTTTTGTGGAAAAACGTTTTAAATGGTCAATTTGGACGTGCCCGTTATTTCAATTTCACGAATACTATCATTTTTGATAAACAGAAGTTCAAAAATCATAAAATTGTCTTTTTTTTTTGGTTTTTGAAGTTGTCAACAGTTTTTTTTTTATTTATTGATGAAAATGAAGGATTTTTGTTCAGTGTGTATTTTTCTGAAAAGGCAATACATTTTCCAACAACTCCGTCTCAAACGTAGTTTCGATTCAATCGTTTTCGTGCTATGATTTATAGTAAAATTTGGCATGAGTCAAATAGGTTGAATTTCAGCACAAATTTGGTTCATTGCCCCTAGCGATCAACTGAGGAAAGTTTCATGGAATTCGGAGAGGGGAAAATAAAATAGGTTCGTTCAGCGTTCAGCGTTGACCTGCAGGAAAAAAGCCCCTTGTCCAAATTGCCCCATAGTTACACCCCTGAACCGATGTGGAATCGAAAACATCAGCCCTGAAAACAACGATCGCACCAATTGTTGAAAATTCCACCAATCAACATTCAATCCAATTTTAAGGAAAATCCATCCAAGTTCCACAAATGCTCACCCAAAATACATCCGCTTTAAACGGTGACGTCACCGAGTGCGCCTCCGATGGCACACTCACACTCTTACTCACGAGAACCGATACGAGGCAAAAGAACACGGCCATCGCATCGCCCTCGGTTGTTGGCACGTGAGAAGGCCAAAAGCACACCCCGTCCGAAATTCACCGGTGCGAAACCTTGAACCAATAAATCTGTCTCGGAATGTTGTTGACTGAGCCGGGCAGTGGAAGCGTGACGTCTGAGGGACTTTGTAACCGGAAAGGATAAAGCTTTCACTTCGTTCGTCATCTCCGTGAGGGGAAAAGAGCAGCTTTCGGCCGAGTGAGGACGAGTTTGCGCACGACCAGCTCTCCGAAGCGAGTCATGCGCCGTTTCCGCCGACAGCGGATTGCCTGCTGAACTAGAAAGCAAGGATTCGTTTGGCTACCGTTCATTCCGTCGCTGATAAGGATCTGTGGCCGGAGTGAACCCCTGAGAGCACTCTCCGTTTATGTTGGCCGTACCCGAAGGCTGCTGGATGGAGTTCCCAGCGGAGTTCATGCGACCCGTTCCGACGAGGACCGACACGATGTGCGTTTCCGTCTGGCTGCTGGTACAGACTGTGGAGGGAGGGCTGCCCAAATTTCAGTCTGTCGACGGACCGCGATGAAGTTACACGTTTTTCCGGCAAAGCCGCGTCGTTCCAATCGTCGAATCAAACAGCGTCGTTCGCGGGTCAATTTGTGCAGCTGCTGCTACTCTGTTGATAGTCCGGGCCGTCGTCGCCGCAGCAGCAGCATCCCACCATCGTTACCAATCGATAGGAAATTCGATTTCAATTCGATCGTAAAGCGTCGCGGCGTGTTTTCGTCGGTTGTCGCCGTGCGGGAGGCTAGACGTAGTCGTCGTCGTCATCGTCGTCGGGATGTCCGCGGGGCAGATTACCACTGGGATACACTTTCCTAAAACGCCGACAAAAGTTTTCGCAACGCAACACATATCGGAACTCTAAAACCTGCCATATCGGAAAAAGTTTTCCACTGTTTTTCCTCCCGGGAAAACTGAAGAATTCCCACATATCAAAGAGTATCATCTATCGGTCGTCTTCGCTATCGCCGCACACTTGTGGTGGTATGAGCGTCTGCCGGGACTGAAGAACAAGTTGTCCTTAAAGTGGAAGACTGCTCCTCCTCTTGCGGGGAGTGAAGTTTGTCTCAAGTTGAAGTTTTCCTCCCACCCCTTCCTTCGCCCCCTGTAGGGGAAAAGTGTGTATCAATAGCAAATTGAGAACTATTCATGTTCGTGAATGCGTGCGGTGTGCTAGTGTTTCCGACTATTTTTATGCTCGTCCAACGCTCGGAAGTGAATGGCATGTTGAAACCGAGGTAGGAAATATGAAACCAAATTAGACCGTTAGTTCTTACGAGCGGTAGGCACGCGGAAGTGTTTTGGTTTCCAAGTGTGTCCTTCGGTCCGTGTCGTTGGTAGACAGACAGGCGGCTGATGACGGCTACTGCCGTCCGACACAAGGATACAGGTCAATAGTTCAGTGCAACAACAACAACAATAACAGTAGTAAACTGCAGACGGCAGCTGGGATTTAGCATTATGCTATGCTACGTTATGTGCCAGTCGAAATATTATTGAATTACTGGAGATCCGGACCCAAATCGCGGGAAATGTGCTGAGCAAACATACACGTGACCTGAATCAATCGGCGACGCCTGGTGCTTCCAGTGTGTGCATGTAAACAAATACCCACCCGGAATCAGCACGAAGCAATCCGGTGGGGGTGTACTTACCAACAAACACCGGACGGTTAAGTGAAGTGAAGTGTTTTCTTTTTGCTTCTCGGAAACAACGCAGGGATTACGCCGTACGGATGAATGCTCGGGAAAACTGAGGGGGGAAAGTGAAGTGGCGGTAATAAATCAATTTCCACACCGATGCGGAATGGAGTGGCACTTGGAGAATCGAAACAGCTGATTTCGTGATAAATGTAAGATTTTCTCTTTTTCCGGATTGATCGATGGTAGCGGAACGGAGTTTGTATGGGTCGTATTTTATGTCTTATCAAAACATGAGGGAGTGGAGGAATTATTAACATAAGTAGACGTGGAAATTGATCTGTTTTGACGGCAACGGTGGCTGATGGTATGGGCTGGCGAAGCATTTTACTAGCAACGCATTTATGGATAAAATCCTACCATGAAATATTCAGTGTAACTTATCAACTACACCGTACCGGTAAATTTGTCGATTTACATATGCATACAGATTCTGTACACTGGAACAAATCCTCATGTTGCAGTATTGTCCCACTCAAGAATTTTAAGGCATAATTCCAATGTGTAAAAATGCCACGTTTGAACACACATACGTTTCATTTGAAATAAAAAAAAAACTTCATGTGTTTATCTGAGTGGATTTTGTTAAAGTGTGATGAATATTATGTGGAATTACCCAATATAGATGTGAGGAATTTTGTGAGTGTAAGAAAATCAGGTTTAAATTTATTTAATTTAGTTCACGTTTGGCTAGAGTGTACAATGCTTAAGGTATGAATTATTCAGGTGCCTCATTTTAGATAATGCGTTCAAGAGAGAAGTCCACAGGCCTCATTAAAAAATAATTCACACGGAAAATACCGGCATTGACAATGTATGTACCTGTTATCGTCATGGAGTATTTTTTTTTTGCATGAAAATGGGTCATGATCCAGGACACCGGTAAAAGAAATGATGAAGACGTAAAGCATGCTTCTTTGCTTAATGAATCCTACCATTTTGGTCACATGATGGTTATAGCTACTTCTTCGCATTTTAAGCTTATTGCTTATCCCATATTAGCTTATTGCGTGCTCTAAACTTAGCGTTATAGATGCACTTCCACGCTTTTAAATTGAGAGCTTTCAATGCCATTTTTGCATTTGTATAATTGTCTGGCAAGTACGCTAATTCTCTGTGCCCAGGGAAGTCGAGAAATTTGTAACCCGAAAAAATCCTATATCGGACTGGAAATCGAACCCAATCACCCCTAACATGGTCTTGCTTTGAAGTGTTCCTTTACCAACTGAGCTAAGGGAGGCTTCTCTTAATTCCTTTTTAGGGGAATACATATCGCTTGAAAAACCGACTTTCAAACTGTCATATACATAAGCGTAAATAGGATGTTGGGCTGAAGTTGGCCATGGCTCTACACCATTTGAAAAATTCATGTAAATTTCTGCGAGATACAGCGCACATAAAATTAACGCATACATTTGAGCGATATTTCGTGTAAATTTAAGCGCTGTATCGCATAAATTAGCAATATTGTATGCAAGCTAATTAAGCCAAGTATAGCTCAAAATGAAACGAAGGGAGATTTTAAGCGATAGTTAAAATTCAGAGTTTTTTCTGTGTAGCTGACAAGACATAAGTTATCGATAGTAAATGTCTGCACATGACACAACTCTACTTTTAAAATTTGCGCGTGAGGAAAGGTGTACACTATTTCAGATTCATATAAGTGAGTCCCTACATGGACCTTCGAAAAATTAAATTAAATCGAGAACGTCCTTTGATTTCAGAAATCTCCACAAGAGAACTTCGTAAAAGTTTGGGAAATGTTATAGAGCGTCAAGAAGCTTTGTAGCAAGAAGCTTCATAGAATATTAAAAAAAACTTCATAAGACCTCAGGGACTCTGTAGAAATCGTGGCAAATTTTTAGAAGGGCAACAAATTTAAAGCGGTAGGGCAATGGTGGGCCAAAGCCAGCGCCCCAATTTGAAGGGGGACCCTGGCTCAGGTTGATTTCTTATAATGTTTATAAAAGAGAGCGGAACATTTCACCGAAGGTTTGACAGCAAATCGCGGTCCATAACTTTTAATGGCACATTAGAGCAGTCAAAACAAGTAATTGCATCTAAATTTAATGATTATTTTGTCGACGAAATAAAACAGCCAGTTAAAAGAAGTTGTAGATTTGAAGTTTTTCACCCATTAGATGAACTTAGCGTTATTTGTTTTTCATTACGAAAATCGGCTGGAGTAGATAATTTTAATGCTAGAGTTATTGAAAATTGCTTTCATGTCATTGGCCACATCTTACTGGACCTTATTAATGATCATTAATAATCATTGCAAACTGTAACCCAAGTAACATTTAGGGTTTTATGAGGGTTCTGTAGACCATTATTTAGACTTGTAGAATGCAATAAAACGTTAATAAAACTTACAATGTTACTTGGGAAGTGTGCAACTAATTTGGAAGGAATCCTTAGTGGTTAATTTTCAAAAAGTTGCTGGAACGATTAAAGCCAAAGAGTTTCGTCCCATCAACATGTTGCACACATTATAAAATTTGCTAGAATTTGTTGTTAAAGGCCAGCTGTTGGAGTATTTAAATAGTAATAGTTTGTTGATACCAGAACAATCGGGATATCGGGAAGATCATTCTTGTGAAACTGCGTTGAATTTGGTATAAACGAAGTGGAAATATAACTTGGAGTGTAAAGATACGATTGTTGCTGTTATTTTGGATCAAAAACGAGCTTTTGAAACAATTTCTATGACCTTATTCTTATGATCAATCAAGCGCTTTGGAATTACGAGTACTGCATATAAATGGTTTGAAAGCTATTTGTCTGACAGAACTCAACAGATTGTTTTTAGTGATGCTGTTTCCAGTCCCGTGGGGAATAACCTTGGAGTGCCCCAGGGAAGTGTATTAGGGCCCCTGTTATTTATTATGTATGTTAATGACTTGCGACGTGTTTTACGACTTTGCAACATTAATCTTTTTGCAGATGATACTATGTTATTCATTGCGGCTAAGGATTTAGATGATGCCGTTTTACGCTTGAATCAAGATTTGCGTTCTCTAAGTAGCAGTTGAAACTGAATACAAGTAAATCTAAATTTATGGTAATTTCGCGAAATCGAGTAAATGAGAACGTCTCTGTTGTAATTGATGATGAGACTATTGATCATCTTCAGAGCTTTGTTCTGAATCCTTTGAAGCGCTTTTTTTCCTGATAGTGCAATGGCCCGTCTAAAAACTTGTTTAAATATTAAAAGTTTATTTTTCAGGCAAAGTATGGATATCGTGTTTAAAAGAGGATACAAACATGTTATATAGGGGCAATCGATGTAATGTCGGCCTAAATGCCCCTTATTTGGCCCATACATAAATTCAGCAATCGACTAAATTTTTAATAGCGACCAAAAATTTCCACTAGTACCGTCCCAATAACGCGTTCAACTAGATAAAATTGATAAATAGCAGATTTTTAGCGATGTGCCCAATCTTAGATCCATAGGCCAACATAAGAGCCATTTCCCCTACTTCTTAGGTTTGGCTTAAATGCCCTGAATGTGATCTTTAGAAGTTAATTTTTAGAAAAAAAAACTTATCCAAGATATTTCACTTGACTTGACCAAGAGATTAGAACTCCATTCATAGTGACTATGTGGCTACTACTAGGCAGAGCTTAAAAATCTTGACAATAGGTCCAGGTGTGGGAGCTGCTTCCCTGGTGTCGGTAGCATTGGTGCTCAGCACGGAAAACAATATCGACGGAAAACAAACCAAAAATAAATCTTAACTTTTCTGCAGTCTGCTGTAAGTAACACGAAACTTTTTCCTTTAGCCAAAATGCCTGGGTCATCGGCGAACAAAGATTTGTGGCAACCCTGAGGCAAATCAGGGAGATCCGAAGTGAAAATGTTATACAATATAGGCCAAAGAATGCTACCCTGAGGGACTCCTGCTCTAACAGGTAGTCGATTAGATTTGAAATTTTGATAATTTACCTGAAGAGTTCTGTTAGTTAAATAATTTTGAACAAATTTCATAATATGGAGTGGAAAATTAAACTTCTGCAATTAAGCAATCAAACCTTCATGCCAAACACTGTCGAATGCTTTTTCTATGTCTAGAAGAGCAACTCCAGTTGAGTGGCCTTCCGATTTGTTTGAACGAATTAAATTGGTAACTCTTAAGAGTTGATGAGTAATTGAATGCCCATGGCGAAATCCAAACTGCTCATCTGCAAAAATTGAGTTCGTATTGATGTGAAGCATCATTCTATTTAAAATTATCTTTTCAAAAAGTTTACTAATTGAAGAAAGCAAGCTTATTGGGCGGTAGCTAGAAGCTTCAGCTGGATTTTTATCCGGCTTCAAAATTGGAACAACTTTTGCATTTTTCCATTTATCAGGAAAGTATGCCAAATTAAAACATCTGTTAAATAATTTTACAAAGAAAGACAAGGTACTCTCTGGGAGTTTTTTGATGAGGATATAGAAAATTCCATCATCACCTGGAGCTTTCATATTTTGAAACTTTTTAGTTATAGACCTTACTTCGTCCAAATCAGTCCCCCAGGAATCATCAAAAATATTTTCCCAAGAGAAAATATTCAGAAAATCCCGAGCAACCTGATTCTCAATAGGACTAGTAAGACCCAAACTGAAATTATGGGAACCCTCGAATTGCTTAGCAAGTTTCTGAGATTTTTCCGAATTTGTGTTCAAAATTTTACCACCATATTTAAGCGCTGGAATAGGCTTTTGAGGTTTTTTCAAAATTTTTGTGAGTTTCCAAAAGGGTTTGGAACTTGGGTCTAATTAAGAAACATTATTTTCAAAAGTTTTGTTCCTCAGGGCAGGGAATCGCTTTTTAATTTGTTTTTGTAAATAACGCCAGATAACTTTCATGGCAGGATCGCGAGTTCTTTGATATTGCCTACTACGGACATTTTTAAGACGGATCAAGCGCTGAAGATCGTCGTCTATTATAATTGAATCGAATTTAACCTCGCATTTTGGTACTGAGGCAGCTCTTGCTTCAACTATAGAAGTAGTCAGAGATTCAAGAGCATAATTAATTTCATCTTTTGTTTGGATCGAAGTGATATTCCATAAATGTTCGATATTGCTCCCAATCAGCTCTATGGCATTTGAAAGTAGAGCTGTTGGGATTAGAAATTATTGCTTGGGTTATTTCAAAAGTTA